GGGCGGCCGTGCAGCTTTAGAGGGTGGGGTACAAAAGCAGCCTCCCAGTGTCCAGGTCAGAGCAGACAGCTTGGGGCCCCTCCTCAGCATGCCCTCAGAGATAAGCAGTCACTCCTTCCTCTGCTCTCTGTCCACACTCTGTGCTCACCCAGCCTGTGACAGGCATTTCTATCTCAGGCACATGACCCTATTTCTAGTCTCCAAATCCTGTAGACTCCTGGGCTCACACCCCCAACCCTCTTTTGGGGGGTGGTCTTTTTTTATTTTTTTTTTAAAGATTTTATTTATTTATTCATGATAGACATGGGGGGCGGTCAGAGACACAGGCAGAGGAAGAAGCAGGCTCCATGCAGGAAGCCCCACGTGGGACTCGATCCCGGGACTCCAGGATCACGCCCTGGGCCAAAGGCAGGCGCCAAACCGCTGAGCCACCCAGGGATCCCTGGGGGGTGGTCTCGTGGTGGTCCTGCCACTTGTTGGGCCCCTTGACCCATCCTGCAGGGGTTCATGGTTTGTGGCAACCTGGAACTGGCACCCTTGGTCTTCCTGTGACCCCCAGGATCCTGAGACCACACTACCCCCCTTCAAATTCCACCCCCTCTTTGCTGCCTGAGCACCTCACAGGCAGGGATGTCCCTCACCAGAGCAGACTTCTAGAAGTTCTGATTTTGCACTCTGCTGGTCCACCAACCACTTTCTGGTAGCCTGCTGCTGGGGGCTCCCTCCCCTTCTCTCATTTATCTTCCATGTATCATTTCACTTCTCCGCACTTCCTACCTTGCAGAAAGCAGTTGCTTTTCTATTTGTAGAGTTGCAGCAATTCTTAGATCTCCAGTTGAGTTTGCAGGTGTTCAGAATAGATTTAGTAGTTATCTAGCTGGACTCCTGGGACCAGACAAAACCAAGGTTTCCTGCTCCTCTGACGTCTTGGACTCCACCTTTTTTTTCTTTTCCGATTAATTTATTTGTTTTGGAGAGAGAACGAGAGAATCTTGAACAGATTCTGCACTGAGTATCGTGCCGGATGCGGGGCTCGATCTCAGGAATCTGAGATCACGATCTGAGGCAAAACCAAGATTCTCAGGAATCTGAGATCACGACCTGGATATGCTTAACCAGCTGTGCTACCCAGGCATCCCTCCTGCTGTTTCTTTATAACACTTAGCAGAACTTTAGGCTATGTGTTTTATGTATTTATTTTGTGTTTTGTTTCCTCTGTTGAATACAATCCCTGTGAGGGCAGGAATTTTTTGTCTGAGATGTTTTATAGGACATGGTACATATCTTAGTAGGCTCTCAGCAAGTATTTGTTGAATGGTACATATCTTAGTAGGCTGTCAGCAAGTATTTGTTGAATGAATTAATAAATAAGAAAAAGCAATTTATTGCCTCATGTAACTATTAAGTCTGAAACACCTGTGTGATTGAAATTACCCTGCCAAGGGGGATTGCTTATTAAGTAAATCTCTCCTGAGAATGATGTCTTTAGGTTTAGTGCCCTAGAATATAAGTAAAAATAGGTTAAAAAATAATAAAGTAACATAAGAAATATAAGAAAAAAATATGGGTAAATATCTTCCAAGGAAGGTAAGGAGTAGGCTTTATTTCTCCAAAGCTCATTTGAGGTCTCTGTCTTCAGGGAGACATGATCTCTAGCTTCCAAAGCTGGATATTGTGCAGTTACTCTTGTAGTACCTTTTGCTCAGAAGCCTCTGATTGTGCAGGAACATGGGAAACCCAGAAAAGAATTGTTCCTCAACGGCAGTTCTAAAATTATAGGAGCCACATGTGTTCATACCTGAATTAACCTGAATGCAGGCGTGATTAGATTTAGGGATGAAATATTTTCAGAGCTTTCATATCTCTTTCCATCTCTTGGCTTTTGTTTTCTCTGGGTTAGCTCTCTGATGAGTGGGTACCTGATGTTCCTTCAGTTTAACAACCTCAGCCGAAAGAGAACTTTGTAATTAGTTCCAAAAATTTTGGGATGGAGATTTAGTTGTCCAGTTAAGTCACACATCCATTCCAGAATTACTGCTTGAAGAGGGAAATATGCTGATTGTCCAGGCCTGGGTTATGCACCTATTCTAGGAACTTTGTGTTTACTTCAGATAAGTGAAATTGGGAATGCTAGTGCCACTCAAACTACATGGATTTAGAGTAAGGGAAGGGTAGTTTGACAGAAGAAAATTGAGAGGCTACTACAAAAAGAAGAGAAGTAAAAATACAATACAGCTATGTCACTTGTATGTACATGCAGCTCAAATTGGTTAAAAAAAATCCCAACAACTTAGAATCTTGTTATATATAGGCATTATTGTCTCATTTATGACTTTTTTTTTACCACCAAATACCACATCATGAACAAGAAATTTTCTGTGAAAAGATGATTTTAAATTGGATGTAAAGCTATATTTAAATTTATTGCTTCATTTTTGATATTTGGCATACCGGAATTAAATTTTGGTTAATCACAATTGAGTGTTACTTATTCGAGAAGTAGAAGGGATAGAGGTGGGAAATAGAAGTATGTGCTATGAGGGTGAGAGGCAAGGGAAATGCCAAAGACACATCATTTTAGACAGGCTTTCAGGGTCATGCAGCTAGCTATAGGGTGGCACTTGTATGACTCTGAGAGTGGATGTCTCCATACATTTTGCACCCCAGTTACCTTTCTTACCTCATGAAGAGAAGCACATTTAAAGAATAGGAACTATATTTTTACTATGATTGTGAGTTAAAGATGGTAGCCTGTGTGGCTGGGGAAGTTGGTGGGGAAGATTAAGGTGCATTAAAAAATAGTTATTATGCATTTTCAACTTATCTATAGAAACTTTTGCTGAGCTCCAATGAGGAGGATAATATCTTGGAGGTAACCCGAAGAATATAGTTTTTTACTCATAGGTTTATAGTCATTTAAAAAAGAAATGTTCCATTTAGAAATGCTGCCATGGAAATTGCTACTTTTTAAACCAAACTATTTCGATATCTTTTGGAAAATAGGGTTTTTATTCATTGAAAAATAAAAATTATAGAAACACATCACGTTGGAGAGTGACACATAAATAACACGTGGGTGTTTTGACTAGCTAGCTTCCTTGAGCAAGACACTCGAAACTGCTCAATGTTGGGCATGAAATCTTAGTTGAATAGTTACATTTCTTGTTCTTACGTCTTTAAAGATAACTTTCTATATCACAGTGAAGGACCAGAATATTAAATTCTAGGTATTTTCAACTATCTTTTTTGATAGAGAAATGGCTAAAAAAATTTCAAAGTAAATGGATTGTCCAGTAATTTTGGGGTGTGTCTCTGGAGTGGAATTATATACCATATCTAATAGATAACAGAATTATATTTAGGTACACACTCATACTTTTTGTTCTTTGGATCTATAAGTAATCAGGTTTACTGTATTATATCTAAGGGGTTTAACTGAAGATACACTAATGACAGCAGCATGATTAAAATTTTCAGATTTAGGGCAGCCCGGGTGGCTCAGTGGTTTAGCACCGCCTTCAGCCCAGGGCGTGATCCTGGAGACCTGGGATTGAGTCCTGCATCAGGCACCCCGCATGGAGCCTGCTTCTCTCTCTGCCTGTGTCTCTGCCTCTCTCTCTGTGTTTCTCATGAATACATGAATAAAATCTTAAAAAAATTTTTTCACATTTAAGTATGTATTATTATTAAGTATTATGTATTATTATTATTAGTATTAAAATTAGTATTATTATTAAGTATTATTAAGTATTATGTATTAAGTATTATTAAGTATATTATTAAGTATGTAATATTAAGTATTTAAGTAAAGTCATGAATTTTATCATTTAATGTAAAAACTCTTGTCAAAGCCTTCCTTTACACCAAAGTGTACAAGTTGGGAAAAGCCATGATTTCCCTTGGAAATTCGTACATTCAGTATTTACTTGTTTGGTGGCTGCAGTGTTCCAGGGATTATGTAGGATGCTGGCTCTGTTAAGATGATAACCCCTGTCCTCAATCATGTCACAGTTTAATGGAAGAAGAAGGATGTAATAATACTCTCATTATATGTAGGTTAGATTTCCAACCAGTTCTAGCTTTGGGAACCTTGCCAAATATACAGGACAACATATACTTGTCCAGGGGCCAAGAAGGAGCCCTTTGGAAATGAGCAGAAAGCTTAGAAAAGTAGGAGACTTGGAAGATATTCCCGACATACTTTGGCTAGTTTCTTGACCAGAGTGAAGGACTTATCTTATTGGTAACCTTCATGAAATGTCCTCTGATTCTTGTGAAAGTCAAGGAAGTAGGGGAAATGACAGGAAAAAAGAATAGGCAAACAAGAAAGAGAAGCTTCAGAGAATGGGAGGGCTTGGCTTATAGCCAAGAAATTGGGATTAGAAATACAAGGCCCTGGGGCAGAAAATGAGGCACAGTGACAGAGCTGTAAGGGACATATGTTGACGTCAGTGGTAGAGAAGAGAGCGAGTTACCAAGAAGGACCTTAGGAATTCTCTTAGTTACAAGAATTGAGAGAAGAGCCGATGGAGGAGTCAGGCTTTGGCATGCTCAGGCATATTAGAGACAATACGAGTTTGTTGGGAGAATCTTTCCTAAACCTTCTCAGCCTTTCAGAGGTTTTCTTACGTAGTTAATTACTCCTTAAAGCTGCAGTAATATTTTAACAAATGTACTTACTTGCTGCTTTTGATATGCTTCAAACCTGAAATTAGTTTTATGATCTGAAAATGGAGAAAAACATGAATTACCTATTCAAAACTGAGGGGCTAGGTTAGGGGAAAAGGGAAGACGTGTTACTCATCGAGAAGGTTGTGGGAAGAAAGAGGAGAGTAAGCAGGGATAGAGACGTTTGGTAAATACAGCATTCTTCTTATCGCGGTGACTGATACACTGTCACGGCTAACTTCCGATGGTAGCCTGCCCTGTGTGCTCCACGCGTGCATTTTCGCTTTTTCTCCATAGTGAACATTGCTGACTCCTTGAATTTCTTCTTGCAGCTCCTGTTTTCTGGCCAGACCTGTGGTCGTTCCAGTGAGACTCCACTGCACATCTTCTCAAGGGTCTTCCTCATCCCTAATGTGTAATCCTTCAACATGGACCTGCTGCTTTAGCTAAGATATGACCAGCAATGAATAGTAGTAAGGTAGGATTACTTCACTCTTTGTGAATTGCTAGGCTCTGAAACCATGAAAGAGTTTTGACTTGTCTTGATTTTGTGGTGTCTGTGTTATTCTATTTACTCCACCATTTCCTATTTCAGTTATGTATTTTTTGTCATTTATCCTACTGAATTCTGTCTCATTTGCGATATAACTATTGGTGTTTTCAGCTAACATTTATGATCATCAGAATCCCAATCTATAACCCTTTCCAGCTTGTGTGTCCACTAGTCCTGTATTTTCAACCACCTGACACCAAACTCAGTATATCTTATTTTCTTCCCAGTCTCTCCTCCTCTGGTTTTTGTATTTCAGTTAATAGCATTATTAGTCACACTGTTCAGTAAGTCATATATTCATTTACTGTTTCATTCGTTTGTTTGCTGTATATCAATACACTTCTATTAAGTATCAGGCAGTTTGCTGCTTCTGGGGACATGATGATGCATAAGCTGGACATTCCATCCTTATAGCTAACATAAGAAGATCTGGGGATCTGATGTGCAACTGGATGACTGTAATTAACAGTACTGTATTACATACTTGAAATTTGTTAAGAGAGTGGATCTTAAATGTTATCACCACACACATGCCATCATAACTATGTGGAGAGATAGAGATGTTAACCTTATTGGGGTAATCATTTTGTACTGTATACATAGATCTGGTCGTCATGTTGCACACCTTAAAACTTACCTATGTTGTATGTCAGTAATATCTTAATAAAGCTGGGGATGGTGGAGGGAAAGAAGGAATAGGGGGTACAAGCACTTTATGCAAGAGTTTGGTGAGTTTGAGGAACATCAAAAAGCCCAGTGTTGCTGACTTAGTGAGAGAGGCAGAGATGGGTAGGAAGAGGTTTTAAAAATATGCAGGGTTTTGAATGGTTGGTAGGAAGCTTGTATTTTATTCTAGATGATATCATCGTTTGAGCTGTCGTGTGAGGAATGGACTGACCGGCCAGGTGAAAGTGAAAGCTGGCAGTTGTAGGAGCGGAGGTGAGATAGTGGTGGCCTGGTAAGGTGCCAGCAACATGGAACAGAGAGGTTGAAACGCATCTGAATCAGAATTTGTGGGACTTTGAATAGTTTGGGTATGGAAACAGAACATTCTGATGGATGACTCTGAGATTTTTGGGTTTTGAGCAACTGGGTGGATGAGCAACTGGGTGGATGCTGGCATCATGCCCAGAAACCTTTTAGACAACTGTCTTTGCCATTATGTCAAAGATTGGTTATTTCACCGAAAGGGAAATTAATTATAATGTTAGAAATAATGTTAGTGCTGGAAATAAAACCTTCTGGCAAATTTGTAATATGTACTGGTTAATACTTTGTTTTGCTTTTTCCCTTGAAATTTAATTTATATGACTTTCTGTTTTTTTTTTATTAAAAATCTTTTTGATTTGAGTGTAGTTGACACCCAGTGTTACATCAGTGTCCAGTGTACCACAGAATGATCGACAAGTTTATACATTATGCTGTGCTCACCACAAGTGTAGCTACTCCCCTCTGTCACCACGCAGTGCTGTTATACCATCATTGTCTACATTCCTTGCGTGGTGCCTTTTAATTTCTATGACTTTTGATTGTTTTTTTAAGGATTTTATTTATTTATTCATAAGAGACAGAGAGGCAGAGACACAGGCAGAGGGAGAAGCAGGCTCCCTCCAGGGAGCCTGTTGTGGGACTTGATCCTGGGACTCTGGGGTCATGCCCTGAGTCGAAGGCAGATGCTCAACCTCTAAGCTACCCAGGCGTCCCTATATTTTTATATTTATATAAGTTAATAAATTATGTAGTTTATATATAAATTTTATATATAAAAATGTAGTTAATATATTAAATACTTCTGGAGTTAATATAATAAAAAGTTAATAAAGATATATTTATGTCCTTATATATATTTTTTACATGTTTATATATATTTTATAGCTTTATTTTATATATATTAAAGATTTATATATATTTATATATTTTGAAGATTTATTTATTTATTTTAGAGAGAATGAGGGAGAGAGAGTGCAAGGAAGGGAGGAGCAGAGGGAGAGAAACTCAAGTAGACTCCGTACTGAGTCAGAGTCTGACTCAGGGCTGGATCCCAGGACCCTGACCTAAATCATGACCTGAGTCAAAATTAAGAGCCTGGCGCTTAACCTACTGAGCCACCCAAGTGCCCCGTTTCTATATTTTTAAAATCATTTAAAAGTATATTAGAAAGATTGTGATAATATAAATTTTTTATTATGCCTATCCTAATAATTTCCTGCATGGTTATAATATCAATATCACATATAAGAAAATTAACATTAATTTAAGAATATCTTTAAACATAATGGTCCTTATTCAGATCTCCCCAATTGTCCCTAAAATTTTTTCTTTAGAATTTTGGATCCAGGAGTCAATCAGGTTTCATGCATTGCAATTGATTCTTATGTCTCCTTTATTCTCTTTTAATTTTGAACAGTCCCTCTTTTTTGTTTTTCATGATTTATATTTTCTTTAAGAGATATAGTTTGTGTATACTTAATGTCTTTCTTGGGAATTGCTGGTTCCTTCGAACCTTATGCATCTAAAACTTACTTGCAATTTGTTTCTTTTCCTTCCAGTTCTCAGAGGTTGCTAGAAATAAAAGTGTTTATTCCAAACTTTTTTAAAAAACCGTCATTCCATCATTAAGTAGACATTGGCTGAGGTTTTTACATTTGGTTGCATTAAATTAAAGATAAGGAAACTGTGGGAGATCCATGTTGTATTTGATCCACTGACACCAGTCAGCAAATGAAATTCATTTAAAACAACAGAAGTCTGAAGGAGCTCCTCCACTACCCACCATTACCCACTCCCACCTTCTAACCACTTGGTTATACCTAGGAATGTATATCTAGTTGCCATGGACGTTATAAAGCAGTATCAGTCTAAGGTTCTGTCTTTGAAAAATGCCCAGTTTCAAGCAAGAAGCAGATTAAAATGCGAATGATGAATAAACCTGTTAGTAGAGACAACCAGAGCTAAGCATGAAGAGGTCCTCTCTGGTGCTTGTGTGGAATGGCATTCAGTTCTCTCCTTTCTTGCTTGCTTCTGAGTTTTACAGATTTGGTTGGTTTTCTTTAAGTGTTATATGGCATTTAGGAACAAGTGGTGTTTTGGGAGGAAGGAATAGGAGGAACTTGTAAGCAGCATTTTTAAAGAGGGGAAGAGTCCTATTTGGTTGAGAGGATAGAAAAAAGTGTCAGTGAGGAAGGGACTACTCATGGTGGTTTAGGGAGGTCTGTGAAGCCTTCTTCTTCTTTTTGTTCCAGCCGGGCTTAGGTTATACTCTGTGCTTTTACTACACTTTATCCTGGGATCCCTTATAGCAGTTATTGCCGTGTGTTAAAACTGCCTATATAGTAAGCTCCCTGAGGCTGCGGCCAATTTTTTTTTTTTTTTTAACCTCTGTGTACCCAGGGCCTCACTCATTGCCTGGCATATTGTAGACATTGAATAAATACTTATTGGATGAATGAATGAATGAATGAATGAATGGAAGACTTTTACTAAGCCCTAGTGCAAAAAGACAGGTTCCTTTGCTGGGCAACCACAGTAATGGTTGGACCTGGTTTGATTGATTCATTATTGAGGTGCTCAGTTAGAGCTGGAATTCATTTAGGAGACTAGGAAAGCACTGTATGAGTCGTGCTACAATTGGGAGATTTTTCAAAGTAGCTATTATGAAGATGTAAGCACCGTTGTCATTTGGTAAATAAAATAAATATATTTGAAAGAGAACATTTTTTTAATATTAAGCATTCCATCTGTGAAATTTGATCTTTACTTTCTTAATATTCAGTCTTGAAATATTTGTTGGGGAGTGGTTAGGTGGCTCTGTCAGTTAAGCTGCTGACTCTTGGTTTTAGCTCAGGTCATGATCTCATGGGTTTTGGGATTGAGCCCAGCATTTGGCTCTGTGCTTAGCGGGAAGTCTGCTTGGAGAGTCTCTCCCTCTGTCCCGTTGACTACATGCTTGTACACACATGCATGAAAACATCTCTTAAAAAAAAAAGTTTGTTGGGAAGTCTTTTCCTTATATTTTTTTATGTTATAAAACAGATACATGCTTATGATAAATACACAAATTAGAAATAGATAAAATAGAAAGTGACATTCTTCTTATTATTCCAGGTCTCAGTCTTCAGAAGTAGCTAATGTTAACAGTTTGATTTATATCAAATTGGTTTTTGAAAAAAATATATATATTTAGAAGCACATGTTTATGTTTGTATAATTTTAAAAATAGGTCATTGATGTACATGTTCTGAAATTTGCTTTTCCTGCTTATCCTTTGATTTTTATCTATGTTCCATATAATTCCAAAAATTTTTGGATATATAGGAGGACAGAAACACCAGCAGAGAGTAATGGCATACAACCAGAGCAATTGGATATATAGGGAAGATAAAATTTAAGGAGTTCAGAATAAGAAAAATACCTGCTAATTTATTTTTTTATTTTATTTTATTTTTATTTATTTATGATAGTCACACAGAGAGAGAGAGAGGCAGAGACACAGGCAGAGGAAGAAGCAGGCTCCATGCACCGGGAGCCTGATGTGGGATTCGATCCCGGGTCCCCAGGATCACGCCCTGGGCCAAAGGCAGGCGCCAAACCACTGCGCCACCCAAGGATCCCCCTGCTAATTTATATTAGTATAATTGCTTTGATTGAGAAGTACTTCTTTTTGACTTCTTTAACCTACCTGAAATTATAAAAGGAATTATTTTTCTTATGCATTGTAGAATAAACACGTAAGAGATAGAGTAAAACTTGAAGATTTATTGAGTACATGAAGATAGTTGTGAGTAGGACACCCCGTCATTACTGAGTGGTGTTATAACAAAGGGCAGAGGCCAAGAAGCCATCTGGAGTAGGCGATATGAACACAGTCCTGAAGGTACTGATTAGTAAAGCTTTTTTAAAAAAATGGCTAGAGGAAATGAAGAAGG